GCCCAAGCTGCTGCCCGACCTCAACTACCACCCCATGATGAAGGTGCTGTGCATCTTCAACGGCGAGTGGCAGCCCACCACCCTCAACTTTGCCCGCTACATCACCGATGCGCGGCGCCGGCCCGCAGTCCACTAAACATCTTCATATCTCTTATTCTATATGTCTGCTATGTATGATTTCACCAGGGCCTCGAGCCGCGCCAGATACGGGTCCAGCGCGTCCGGTCGGTGCTGGCGCAGCGAGTCGCAGAGCCGAAACAGGTACTCGCGGTTGGTCCCCGACGGGCCCTCCGCCCGCGCAATGACCTTGGCCGTGTCCTCGAGCGACGACGTGCCGGCAAACGACGGGTTCGAGCTCACCCCCACATACACCATCACCCCCTCGACCAGCGGCCGCCCACCAACCTCCGCGTACACATCAACAAAGTCAATCGTGTACCCGTCCTTTTCCCGATAGTCCAAGTGCCGCTTGACCTCCTGCTCCATCCCCTGCTTGACCTTGTACGCCACGCCCCAGCACACCTCACGGGCGTCCGCGGGTTCCTCGGGAAACATCCGGTTCCACTCGTCATGCGGAATCAACGTGCACACGCGCCCCGGATTCTCCTCCGTCCCGCGGTGGTCGTGCGACTTTTGCAGAAACGCCCGCTTGCGTCGGTGGATGAACCCGAACACTTGCGCTTCTACGGGAAAGTCCACTCGGTAGATTATCGACCCGTAGCCAAACACCCACAGTGGGCGCGTCGGGTGCCACGGCGTGCCCAGCGCAATTCCCTGCGTTGTTATTGACGAAAGTGGCTCCGTCGGCAAAACTTCACTAGCAACTACTGGTACCGACATTATTACTAATAGAAACTAGCCAAGAAAGAAAAAAAAGAGTTTAACAGTGCTTGTTCCGCGCAAGCCACTCGGCTGCTTTTATCCTTGACCTACTAAATCTAGTACGTGTAAGTGACTATATTATTTAATTAACAAGTTTAAGCAGCGGTTGATTAGTTAAGATCGCCGAGTCTCGATGGTGTAGTTGGTTATCACGTCCGCTTCACACGCGGGAGGCCTCCAGTTCGAGCCTGGATCGAGACATTTTTTGCTTTTTTTTATTTATGCGGTGTTGGCTTTTTGCGCACTGGTTACAGTTTCTACATCTACAAACCCTTAACCTGTTACTGTTTCAAAATGATAAGTATAAAATTTATTTAGATAGAAGTTATGCAAAATCAGTGTACTGATATTCCAGTAGGCCTGATTTTGTGTCCTCATTGTAAGCATATATATTATTGTCCCTGTCCACATCGAATCCAATATTTCTAAACCCAGCCATAATAGTAAAACTACCAATTTCAACATCCAGTAGTGACTTATTTTTAGGAATTCTAGTTCTATTATCATTATCATTTTCAGCAAATCTGCAATATACTGATTTATTGACAGAATTAACACCACATGTTATCTGATATCCATTCCATTCACCAGTATCACCATTACCACCTGTTAATAATTCGACAAGTTCTACAACTGTTTCTGGCTTCATGGATTGATGTAATTCTTTAATACGATCACAAAAACTTTTCTCATCACCATGATTGTCATATAAGAATTTTGTCATCACTAATGGTGTAAATTTAATTATTATGTGTTAATTTGAATAAAATAATTGAATGGTGGGCAGGAGATGAATAAATTTTTAGGAGGAAGGATGCCAAATCCCTTCCATTTTATAGCTGTTAAGCCAAGAATAAGCCAGTCAGCCAACATGTTTATTTCCAACTCTTTTTTTGCTGTCCATCCCCCAACAAGTGGCAAAGAAAATTGTAAAGACAAAGCCAGACTTGGCAGATAGGATGGTTCAAAAGAAAATGGCCAAGCTTTCTTTGTCGGTGCTTTCCACGCTAGTAAGTAGATGCAACCACAACTATTTTCTAATTGGCTAGGATTGCTTTTGGGCAAGCCGCGGCTTTGAACAAAAAGAAAAAACTAAAAGACAAGCTGTGTCTTATTTAAATACCAGGCAAGAGAACAGCAAAGAGTAAGCATCTTAAAGACTAAAGGGGTTCTTTTAAAATCTTGGAAAAATGGGCAAAGAGCTGGTGACTTTAAGCAAGAAAATTCATGGAGAAGGCAGGAAGGCAAAAAAATTGGGCTAGAGACTTTCTGGACTAGGAATTTTACAGGGTCTCAGCCATCTGGCCCATCTTTTCTCGTTTTTTTTGTCCTATCAAATTTTTCCTTGCCTTTCGGTAGTATAGGACTGTCTTGTGGTGAGCTGGATCACTCACCACCCAGTGCGGAAGGTACGTACACTTATTGGGAGGTCACAAGACTATATTCAAAGTGTAACGTCTAAAAGAACTTATCTGTTTCAATGAGAGTCAGCTAGGCATACCTTTTATAGGTACGCCTGTGTTACATCAGAGCCTAGACGTTAGCTCTGCATAATGCTGGTTATCTCACTGATCCTTGTCTTACATTAGCTCAGGTCTCGGTCATATACTGCGGATCAGGGATGTGTACTGATGACATCATCGAGGTCGCCCAGGCTGACCACGACAGTCTAATTTATGCCTGTGATTCTACTTTATTCAATTCACAAGTTTATGGGTCTAAAGACTCGGTTGGCCACTACCTGCATCTACGTGTAGTTTATTGTGTGGTCGAACATAGATACTGGAACTTTAGATTATTCTGAGTAATCCGTGTGCTTGCTAAATGGTAATCTGAACAGCTGTTACATAAAATGATGCATTGAAAGTAGCCTGTTGCTAGCATTAACATTACAAATTGATTACCTATCAGCTAGTTGCAATCAGCAGAGTAATGATTCAAACCTATTGCAAAGCAGTTATCCAAACCATTTAGTGTTTTCCCAGTCTTCACGGTTAACAAGGTTGCTTTTATCTACAATGTCACCATTGCATATGATATACCCGCGCATGCAGCCTCCAACCACAAGCAAAAATTTGCCATTGCCAGTGGTTATATCTGCATCCATTTCTTTATAATCAATTAAGCCCTGGACATTATCTATCTCAAACGTTTTCTTACATTCTTCTACAAAGTTGTTCAAAGTTTGTGGCCTGATGGCCTTGTATACATTTTTAATTTTTTGATCCGTTGCTGGGTCGCTCCACTCTGTGAGTACAATTCCGCTATAACTAGACATCAGCAACAGTTGGTAAATCAATTAGCAAGCCTTGTCAAACCAGAGAGAAAAATAATAATGGGTGCAGTTTTTCAAATCTACTTAAACATGATAGGCGGCGAAGTGCAATCTTTTTATAGATGGCAAATAGGAGCAGACAATGGTCGGGCTTTTGGCCACAGTTTTATTAATTTATCTTTTCAGTAGCAGCGTTGGTGCTATTGTTTCTGTATTAATTTGCTGCTTTTAGCAAAGAATGGTATAAAGCAGACTGTGCTTTATGTTTGACATTGGCAATAATTAATTAATTAATCTGCTTTATTAAAAAATGGGCAAACATTGCGAGATGACTAATTGTCAAAGAGAAAACTACTAGCGTAAAATAAAAGTTTTACTTATCTGTCCGTTAACAAAGCAGCTAAAAAGAGCAAAAACGCTAGGCAAAAAAATAGGCGGCGGGGTAGCGGGCTGAGCAAACCTAGATCAAAAAAAGACAACAGAACAAACCCTACCTAGCCATTTGCTCTTTTCTTAATGGGTGCAATGTTCTTGGGTTTATTTTTAATTATACTACAGGCATGGCTCGACACGACAGCCATGCAATCTGCCGCTTGACCCAGTTAAAGAGTATTATTAGTAGGTTTATCGTACTGACCATTGCTCACTAAAAGCGCAACAATTGCCATCTTTTTGCTACCTGCTATTTTTAAATCTGGTAGGGGGTTGTCAGGCCCGTTTATCCGGTTTTTTGCGGCGCTAACAAAAAATGATGACCCCTGGTTGTCATGATTAGCCGGTTCCGAAATCCCATTCATGTCTCCAAAAAATAGGTAGACAACCAGTACACTATTCTAATCGTCATTAAGACGTGCTCGACATACTCAAGCGAGTAATCTGACATAAGATTGGGTGAGATCTTTTTTAAAGTTCTGTTTTCTATTTTTGATTAGAGCGTACTCTAAAGAAGTAATCACGAATCTGTCAAAAAAACATACAGGTTAAGCAAGAAAGAAAAGCAACGGTACCGCCGGGTTATAAAAAAGGCAAGTACTCATTGAATTTAACAAGTTTTATGTATCAACATACACACATACACTTTTCTCTCTTGCATTCTATACACACACAATGAGCGATTGTCCCATGTGCGGAGCGTCTTTCCCAGACTCAATTGCCGCGGCCGATCACGTACGCGAGGCACACTTTTACCAGTCGCTTGACGAGCTCTAACACTAGCTTTAAACTACGGGTTTCTCCTGCCGTCAGTTTGCAAACAAGAACCGCTATCCTGAACAAATGTATATAAGCTAGACTTGTTTTAGGGGAAATTAAACTTTCATACGCTTTTGTTGCATTTAACCCTTTATTGTGTTAAAAATTAACGCAATCGTGCACA